AAATATAAAGAATCGTACGCAAATCCAAAGTTTAAACATGAAAATTGACATGACCAAACCTTTTGTGTTTGTCTTCATGGGTCTTAAAGACGTCCGTGAAGACGCTGGTCCCAGGCAGCAGGAGCCAGAGTACCCCGACATTAAGGAAGAAGTGGAGGATGAACAGTGTCCCTACATTCAAGAAAAGGAGGATGAAGGGCACACTCACATCAAAGAAGAGGAGGAAGAGCACCTCCGTTCCAAGGAGGATGAAGGAAAGCCTCCCTACATCAAAGAGGAGGAGAAGGAGTACATTTGCAAGTTGCTATCGACTGGTATCCCTTTAAAAAGTGAAGATGAGGGGCAAAGTGAACCGAGCAGAGGGCCGCGGCCTCAAAGCAGCAGAATTTCAAGTCAACACACGACAACAAAAGGTGATGGAGGCCACTGTGAAGGGTCACAAGTGAACGGCGTCTTAGGTATGCTTCCACCACACCGCACAGCACCATTGGAGAGGATGGTGAAATTGGCTCCACCACAAATTATTTATGGCTATACATGATAAAATCAACACCACATTGTTAAAAATAGGGGCATCCAGAGGGAATAACCCCAAAAACACGCAAAACTCAATTGTAAGTCTGATCCTCGGTCAAATTTTCAATGAACACATTTGTCATCTCGATAAAGTTTTGTGGCGACACGGTGGAAGACTGGTTAACATGTCCGCCTCACAATGCAGAGGTGCAGGCTTTGATTCCGGCTCCAACCTTCCTTTGTGGAATTTGCATGTTCTCAATTTCACTCAACTATATTTATAGAGGACTTTAAAACAACCCCTGCTGTATCCAAAGGGCTGTACCTGGAACGAAAAGAATTTATGCAACAGCAAAGACAAACAAGCAATGCTTCTGGAAGCAAAAATGGCAGTGGATGCCCCTTTTTATTGCCAAGCTAAGGGAAATTCCGTCAAAATCTTAAGATGGACCCCTCGTCAAAGGTGGCGTGGACGGCAATAATGCCGTGGCGCTACGCAGGGAACTAACGACTAGTATCGGGCATGGGTCGACAGGGTCCAGGGCCACGCCACGACAGATTAATTCCTTGCGTTCGGGAATGAGCGGAGCTCAAAGCGTGTTTCGGTTCCTATTTTAGCTTCACCAGCTGAACGCTGCGTATGCCGCCACGGTGCTTCCATGAAGGGCATGTGTGAATGTGGAAGAGGTCAGCCGGTGTGTATGCCAGAAATGGAGGCTATGTCCTCTCACCGCCGCCATGCTCCAACGTAGCTGAACCTTCGATGTATTGTTGAAAAACTAACAAGAATTTTCTCCCACACCACGTACTGTATATGTGTGATCCACCATGTGTGCCCTGTGACTAGTTCAGGGTGTACCCGCAATCCATCCGAAGTCATCAGGGATAGGCTCCAGCATACCTACAGCACTTGTGAGGATGAGCAGATTAGAAAATGGATGGATGGAAAACGGTTTTGTCCCTGGTCTTTCAATAACATTTATTTTTGTCTCAATGTGGCCAAATTAAATCACATCAGCTGGCTAATAAACGTTACGAGTCTAATTACCTTTTTCATGACACTAACCTTAAATTACAATTAACCACAAGTACAAATATAAACAATAATCTGTCATGTAAAGCTACAGAATTCACTTTGCCAAACCTTTTTTCTCTATTTTCTTATCTTGAAGATATCAGCGAAGATGTTTGTACTGGATGGCAGGATCCAGAGTCCCCCCATATTAAGAAGGAAGTGGATGATGAAGAGCGCCCCTGCATTCAAGAAAAGGAGGAGGCAGACCCCCGTCTCATTAAAAAGGAGGATGAAGGGCACACTCACATCAAAGAGAAGGAAGAGCTGCTCCAAACCAAGGGAGATGAAGAAAAGCTTCTCTACATCAAAGCGGAGGATGAGGAGCAGAATGTATGCAAGTTGTCTTTGACTGCTGTCCCTTTAAAAAGTGAAGATGAGGGCCAAAGTGAAGCGAGCAGAGGGGCGGGGCCTCCAGGCAGCAGCTCATGTCATCACGTGACATCAGAAAGTGATGGAGGATCATTTGCAGACGGTCTCTTAGCTCCACCATCGGGTGGTGAAGACATGACTCCATGCTCTACTGAGACTGATGATAAAGCGTATGAAGGTGATATGACACGTGAAACTGACAAACGCTGGAAATGTTCCCAGTGTGGGAAAACTTATGCTTGTGCCAGCAGTTTGAAGAGGCATATGATTTGCCATTGTATTGAGAAACCTTATCCATGCTCAGTTTGTGGCCGAAGATTCTCTCAGAAGGGAACCTTAAAAAAACATATTAGAACACACACTGGTGAGAAACCTTTTGTCTGCTTGGTGTGTGAGCAAAGATTCTCCCGGAAGGAAAGCTTAAAATGTCACACAAGAACCCATACTGGTGAGAAACCCTTTGCCTGCTCATTGTGTGGCCAAAATTTCTCAGAGAAGGGACACTTAAAAAGACACATTAGAAGACACACTGGTGAGAAACCTTTTGCCTGCTCAGTTTGTGGCCAAAGGTTCTCTGAGAAGCGAACCTTAAAAATACATATAAAAACGCACACTAGTGAGAAACCTTTTGCCTGTTCAGTTTGTAACCAAATATTCTTCGATAAGGAACAATTAAAAATACACACAAGAACCCACACTGGTGAGAAACCTTTTGCCTGTTCTGTTTGTGGCCAAAGATTCTCTCATAAGGGACACTTAAAAACACACACAAGAATCCATACTGGGGAAAAACCCTTTCCTTGCTCAGTTTGTGGTCAAAGATTCTCCGAGAAGGGAAGCTTAAAATTACACCCAAGAACACACACTGGTGAGAAACCTTTTACCTGCTCAGTTTGTGGACAAAGATTTTCTCAGAAGGGAAGCTTAAAATTGCACACTAGAACACACCCTGGTGAGAAGCATTTTTCCTGCACAGTTTGTGGTCAAAGATTCTCTGAGAAGGGAAGCTTAAAAAGACACAAGAACCCACACTGGTGAGAAACCTTTTGCCTGCACAGTTTGTGACAAAAGATTCTCTCTGAGGGGAAGCTTAAAAATACACATAAGAACCCACACTGGTGAGAAACCTGTATCCTGCACAGTCTGTAGCCAAAGATTCTCTCACAAGATATCTTTAAAGCGTCACAAAAAAAGACATCGGTGAGAAAACCTTTTCCTGCTCAATTCGTGGCCAAAGCTTCTCGTAGAAGTATCAGGATGAGAATCACAAGCGTGTTGGTGAGATGAGCAGTCATCAATTACGTTTTGGCCTCTCATCTGAGCAGACTTAATCAGTTCTTGCGCCAATCCATCAATTACGTTTTGGCCTCTCATCTGAGCAGACTTAATCAGTTCTTGCGCCAAGGATGGCTGAAATCAATGCAGCGTCTTGCAAGGGTGCTCGAATTCTGTTTTTTCTTTGTTGGAGTGAAATAACAAGTGAAAATGTTGTGAGTTGTCGTCTTGTGAATAATCTTTTTTTGTTTGTTTGTTTGTTTTGGTTTTGAGATTTTGTTTTACTTAAGTTCATGTGTTGGCTAGGATTTATACATTTTTATTATATGAAAAATGTCTTTCTTTTCGCATTGTTTTATTTCATCGTGTTGAAAAATGTGACATTGTGGATGAGTAGGTAGTTAATTCATTTTCATTTGTACGTTTTCAATTTGCTTTATTGCAATTTTTTTATGTCTTCACAATATAATGGCTTTTGTGTTAGTGCTGTCTTATATAATCATGTCTCAGGTAACAGTTTAAAATGTATGACGGCAAATAATTATGTGTTTCTGAGTCTCACTAAGTATCTGTTTGTGGTGAGTGACCATGAGGAAGTGAAAGAGAAAAGGCCGACACGGCGCAGAGAGCAGAAGATCGCATGGACACATCATAAGCGCCCACAGTAGAGGTTTTGCATTTAGCGCGATGATGCGCACATCAGATTGCTCAGCGGACAGATAAAAATAAAAACAACATCGACAAAGTGAAACACAACAATCGCTGTGTTTAAACTAATTCACGGACCAGCAATATCATAATGTCACACATGATTAGCATCCTGAACGAATGTGCCCATTCGATCAAGAATTTTTGCCATAAAAGTGCAATAAATCAATACACAGGCGTATATTGCAACTTTATGCTTTTCCCAGGTACACTTATTCATTCTTACCACCATAAGTGTTGACAATTAGCCCTTGCCTTTAATCATTAGAGCAATACATCCCCTTTGTCCAATGTTTAGTCATCCATCTATTCTCCAATCGCCTGCGTGCACACCAAATCTTTTGCGAACGTTCCGCCTCGCTTGATTCATGATGATGACGCCATCTCTGTCGCAACTATGTGAATTCGTACAGACCAAAATACATACCATCAGGTGTGCCAACCCCCTCACTCACCAAAATCGACCAAATGAGTGGATTTTAGGGGTGCATGCACACTTCCCGACGCTCCAAACGTGTCATCCACCATGCATCCGCATCCCACCGCATCAACTGCATTGACTTTATTTTTAATCGCACCACCAGAAATGATTGCAACTGATTTGGTGTGCACATACAAGGGTCGTGGTTCGCACTGGAGCGGATTCCAGCCGTCTGTGGGCAGGAGGCTGGGCACACCCTCACACTGGCTGACAGCCAATCATAGGGCACACAGACAAACAATAACACTGAGTGACAATTTGGACGCAGGGGTCAAATGAGTTTGACCCCCCCGAGGGGGGGGTCAAACTCATTTTTACCTGGGGTCAGTGTCAGTGTTTTTCTCGGACAAAGTTAAAGAAATGACTCGGCACACAGGGAAAATTGTCTTCAAGATCGGCGGGAGGGATCTCTGAGAGCGAACGACGGTAGTTGCCCCAATGATCAACACTCGAGCTCCCTTCCCACTGTCAGGTTTATCCAATTTGACTCTCAGGAATAAAACACAAGGAGGAGACAGGGGACTCAATTCTGGTACCAGAAGGAGTCTCCTGGAGGGAACGAGGAGAAGCGTTCGGTTTCAGTTCTCGGCACGTCTCCCCTTTCTTCCCCTCATTTATTGGGAAACCTACTACATAGGTGTGTCCAACCTAAAGGGCGGGGGCTGTTGGACACACACTGAACTTGTTTGACTATGTGTGTGTATGTGAGTGTAAATTACGTACATGTGTGCAATTGTTACAAAAACAACACGTTGCAGCTGGTGTTGATGGCTCCATTCACTGTCCAACCTTGCTCCTGTTTAGTCTTAACACTTATCTCTTCCCAACCACATCCTCGGAAAGGTGGTTGCGTCCCTAAACTTCCACACGGTGCACTAAGCATTCTTGATGATAAATGTATTATAAATATAATACAAAGGATTAGAAATGTGAGTACATCATGATTAATATATCTTTATTAGGAAGCATAAGCGTTCTTCATTGCAGGCATAGTCAATTAATGATTGCAGGCATAAGCGTTCATCTTTGCAAGCATAATCAATTTATCATTGCAGGCATAAGCTTTCTTCTTTGCTTTATCATTGCACGCATAAGCTTTCTTCTTTGCGAGCATAATCAATCAATCAATCAATCAATATCAAAATAACAATAATAATATTAATAATAAGCGAATGTATGATAACTAAAAATAATCAATCTATCACCCAGGAACTCTAAGGTCGCGCCGAGTGACACAGGGCAGTTGGCTAGTGTGAGGGGCAGCTGTGGTGAAGGATGTTTCTGGAAGTCCACGATCTTCTCTACTGTCTTGAGCGTGTTCAGCTCCAGGTTGTGTTGGCTTCACCAGAGCGCCAGCTGCTCCACTTCTTGTTGGTACGCAGACTTGTTGCCGTCTTTGATGAGACTGATGGCTGTGGTGTCGTCTGCAAATTTTATAAGTTTGACGGCTGGGTGTGTCGAGGTGCAATCGTTCGTGTAAGTGGGAGAACAGCAGTGGAGAGAGGACGCATCCCTGCGGGGCTCCAGTGCGAGTGGTGCATGTTGATGATGTTGACCTTCCCAGCCTCACCTGTTGCGTACGTTCCGTCAGGAAGCTGAGGATACACTGGTCGATCGGAGGGGACACACTAAGCTGGAGAAGTTTGCAGGGGAGAAGTTGCGGGATGATGGTGTTGACTGAAGATCTAAAGGTCCCTGGTTCAATCCTGTGCTTCGGCATGTGAGGCACAGAAATGTTTTCTTTGTTGTGATTACTGTACTACGATGTGTCCTATCACTCGCTGGTGTGATTTTGGCCGATAAGATCCCATGAATTGACTGGGGAAAAGGCCTTAGTTAACTCCACAAGAGGCCGAAATAGCTCAGTTGGGTTCGCGTTAGACTGAAGCCCTAGAAGTCCCTGGTTCAATTCTGGTTTTCGGCATCTAAGGCATAGAAGTAATTTCGTTGTTGTGATTCTTTTACTGCAATGTGTCATGTGACTCAGTGTTGTGATGCGGCCACTAAGATTCCATTGATTGACTGGTGAAAAGGTAGCTCGTTAGGTGGCTCCACAAGAGGCTGATATAACTCATTTGGTTGAGCGTTAGACTGAAGATCTAAAGCTCCCTGGTTCAATCTTGTGTTTCTGCATGTGAGGCACAGAAACGTTTTCTTTGTTGTGATTACTTTCCTACAATGTGTCCTGTGACTCGCTGTTCTGATTTTGGCCGATCAGATCCCATTAATTGAATGGTGAAAAGGCCCTAGTTAACTCTACGACAGGCCGAAATAGCTCAGTTGGGAGAGCGTTAGACTGAAGATCTAAAGGTCCCTGGTTCAACCCCGGGTTTCGGCATGTAAGGAGCAGAAGTTTTTTCTTTCATGCAATTACTGGACAACGATGTGTCCTTTGACTCACTGTTGTGATTTTGGCAGATAAGATCCCATTAATTGACAGGTGAAGAGGGCTTAGATATCTCCACAAGAGGCTGAAACAGCTAAGTTGGGACCGCGTTAGACTGAAGCCCAAAAAGTCCCTGGTTCAATTCTGGGTTTCGGCATCCAAGGTATAGAAGTAATTTCGTTGTTGTGATTCTTTTACTACAATGTGTCATGTGACTCAGTGTTGTGATGCGGCACTAAGATTCCATTGATTGACTGGTGAAAAGGTAGCTCGTTAGGTGGCTCCACAAGAGGCTGATATAACTCATTTGGTTGAGCGTTAGACTGAAGATCTAAAGCTCCCTGGTTCAATCTTGTGTTTCTGCATGTGAGGCACAGAAACGTTTTCTTTGTTGTGATTACTGTCCCACAATGTGTCCTGTGACTCTCTGTTCTGATTTTGGCCGATCAGATCCCATTAATTGAATGGTGAAAAGGCCCTAGTTAACGCCGCAACAGGCCGAAATAGCTCAGTTATGAGAGCGTTAGACTGAAGATCTAACGGTCCCTGGTTCAACCCCGGGTTTCGGCATGTGAGGAGCAGAAGTTTTTTCTTTAATGCAATTACTGGACAACGATGTGTCCTTTGACTCACTGTTGTGATTTTGGCAGATAAGATCCCATTAATTGACAGGTGAAGAGGGCTTAGATATCTCCACAAGAGGCTGAAATAGCTCAGTTGGGAGAGCGTTAGACTGAAGATCTAAAGGTCCCTCGTTCAACCCTGGGTTTTGGCATCTAAGGCACGGAAATTATTTCTTTGTTGTGATTATTTTACTTCGATGTGTCCTGTGACTCGCTGTGGTGATTTTGGCCGATAAGATCCCATTAATTGATTGGTTAAGACCAAGTTAGTTAAGTCCACAAGCGGCCGAAATAGCTCAATTAGGAGAGTGTTCGACTGAATCTCTGAAAGTTGATGGTTCAATCACAGGTTTCGGCAAGTAAGGCACAGAATTCTATTCTTTGTTGCAATTACTGTACAACAATGTGTGTGTTTGACTCACTCGTCTTCTTTTGGCCCCAAGAATATCCCATTAATTGACTGGAGAAAAGAGCTTAGTTAACTCCACAAGAGGCCGAAATAGCTCAGTTGGGAGAGCGTTAGACTGAAGATCTGAAGGCCCTTGGTTCATACCCGGGTTTCGGCATGTGAGGCACAGGAATTGTTCCTTTGTTGAGATTACTCTTCTCCAAGGTGTCCTGTGACTTGCTGTCGTGTTTTTGGCCGATAAGATCCCATTTATTGACTGGTGAAAAGGTCTTAGT